CCCTCCCTCCCTCCCTCCCTCTCTTCCCCCTCCCTCTGTCTCTCTAAGATTTTTTTTTTGTATGTGTTTGTCTGAATGTGTATCTTTGGATTGTGTGCACGCATGCAGTAGCTCAGACTGGAGTCAAAGATGTTTTTGAGTCACCACATGACGTCCACAAACACAAGCACGCCTGGTGCCCACGGAGGTCAGAAGAGCACACTGGATGCCCTGGAACTAGAGTTACAGACTCCACCGTGGGAGGTACCATGTGGGTGCTTGGAACTGAGTACAAGTGTTCTGCATAACGGCCAGTGCTCGTAACCACAGAGCCATCTCTCCAGCCCCAGAGGTCCTCTCTTGATGTGCTCAGAAGCTAAGTTCATCCCAGCTCCTTCCAGAGCAGCATTATAAATTCTACAGAGCCTGTCAGCTCCATGCCATGACTTGTGGGTTTGGTAAGACCCCACTCTAGGGGGTGGCGTTTGAGTGGACAGCGACCACCTATGACTCCATTATTTCAATTCGCACATTTTAGTGGCGACCCCTGCCCAGCACTTGCTCCTTCCTTTCCCTCTGCTGCACTGGGTTCTCCTCGGGGACACAGAATCATGTCTAACCTGACCTTGGCCCCCAGTGCCTGGAGATGAGTGTGGCAGGTAGCCCATGCGTGTTATAGGTGAGGGTCCTCATTGGCACTCTGTATGATTGGCGGCATTGCCACATTACATGGATGTAGCAGGATTTGCAAGTGTGCCGTGCCTGATTTCCTGCCTTCATGCTATAGAGCTCTTAGTGATGAAAAAACAAAACAAAACAAAACAAAACAAAACAAAACAAAACAAAACAAAACAAAACAAAAAAAGCCCTAAGGAATAAAGTTCCCCTGGGAAAGGCTCCCCAGACTACAACTCTGAAACCATTTTCTATCTGGTAGCCAATATATAGTAAAATATAACTTTATTTCAGGAGCACAGATGGGAGTTCAAGAGTATCAGAAAATGTGATGGTAAACACGGCCCATGTCAGCACCCACCCCTGTGGGTTTCAATTGGCCTTGTATTTGCTACCAAAGCTCATGAAATCACTAATGGCCATAGTTTGAATCACCCTGATTTGACATGAGACAGGTTAGTATCTGCGGAGTTCCTTAGTAAAGGCAATACCTACGGGAGATGGGAATGCCCCTCACCTGGGGGCCCAGCAGAAAAGATGAGAGACTAGTTGTCCCAAGGTCTGGGAGCTATGTCAGAATAATGCATGCACTATTCATTCTCCATCTCTGTGTGGGCTTAGAGGGATGAGATGACTGAAGTCTTGCCTGAACTATGACGATGTCTGTCAGGAGAGCCTTGGGGATGTGGGTCAGACTTTTCCCTGGAGCCTCAGTTATTTAGTTCCAAGTAGAGTGACAGTGAGTCTGGCTGTAGAATGAGCTTAGGAGACAGGGGCTTGATGCTTTGGGGGGAGATGGTCCTCATACAGGCCCTCTCTATAGACCTCCAGCTCAGCCTCTGCCACCCAGGCCTGCACTTGGCAGGTGACTGCCCCTCCTGGTGCTTAACAGATTAATTAGTTCCTACTCAAAGCATTGTGAGAGTAATTAGTTAATCCCCAGGGGCTCCCAGGCAATCTTGCCTTTCCATTTGTTTTTATTTACCTATCCTAATGGGCCGCTCTCCTGGAAGATTATCCTCTGTGGATTTCTGATGGAGGACTTGGGGTAAAAGACTTCATCCAATTCTCTTTGAGTTCCTGTGAAATGGGAATATTGCATCCCCTATCAAATGCAAATGATTGAAAAAACAATCTTGGGGGTCCTGGCCCCCGCCCCCCTCTATGCTTGAGAGTAAAATCTCTGCACTCATCAGCAGATAGGACCCTGGACAGAATGCCTCTGGACAGAGTGACCACCGTGAGCCTAGACATCCAGGCATTAGAAGCTAGGGCTTGGGGAGGTGGTGGAAGGTGGGTGTGTGTGCATGCCAGCCAGCTCGAACTGTGAAACACCAGACCTATTCTCCTCACAAGGGGAGGGATTGTCCAGCTCCCTGGACCACCTTAGCACAAAACATTCCTCTTATCGTTCTGGGTATCGAAGAAACTGTCTTAATGGTTTCCCTCCATTACCTACCTTGTCCAGGGAAGATGGAATGTTGGGATCCCCCTGGGGAATGTCATCTTAGATGATTCTGCCTTCATGAAGCTAAGAGTGGCTAAGCACACACCTGCTTGATGTGAGGGAGATCTGGTTCTGTTTGAGGCTTGTTCACTTATTTTGGATGTGTGATATACCAAACAGCTGGATGGGCAGATGTTTCCTGACATATGACATCACCTTCAGTAGTTACTTCTCGCCGCAGGGTACTTGCCCCAGTCCTGGTTCTGAGGCAGGAGATACTTGAAAAACTCCTCAGGTGTTTCAGGCATGAGGGTGGCTGCCTTTGCTTGCTGTCCCTGCTGCTCTTAAGGAGGCCTGGGCACACCCAGAATGTAGAAGAACCATGGGTTTGTCCTTTCCCACAAAGGCTGTCAGTTTTTAGTGTTGGTTGGAAGCGGAAAGTTATCTGAGGTTTTAGGAAGCAGCCATACATGCATAGCTCTTCCCTCCTCCTCGCAGAAACCTTGGAAGATGGGAGAGCATCTCATTTTCAACTGAGAAAAACAGGGTCCTATAAGGCAGACGCTTGCAAAAGTGTCATTTTCTCTACATGTGATGGCTTATGCCTATAAGTCCAGGGCTTAGAAGGCTGGGACTACAGGATTTCCAAAGTTCAAGGCCAGCCTGAAGTACACAGAAAGTACTAGACACAGCCAGCCAGCCTTATTGGGAATGCCACTTTTGTTATTGTTGTTGTTAATCCAGCAGGACAATAGGCCTGTAGGGTCAGGTCAGTTTATGATCCCACTATGCCATACACAGGCTGTGTGATCTTAGGAAGTTGCTTTACCTCTCTGGGTTGGCATTCTGATAGGGCAGTTGAAAGATTAAGAGAGAGGTGGTGTGGCCTAGGAAACCCTGCCTCTTTGTGTCTCAAGCTGCCTTGTCCCTTGGGACATTCAGTCCACTGCTCTTGGGTGGGGGTGAGGGCTGAGAAGGAGGAGGAGCAATAGGAACCAGGACAGGCAGAGGAGGGGAGGGGGGAGAAGGGAGGCAAGGGGAGGGGACTTCACTTGAAGCAGCTGCCAGAGACAAGCCTGCTCTGTGTCTCAGACCCTGCAGAAGCCCCAAGGACCTCTAATCCTAAAAAGACTGTGGAAGGCGCCTTGAGCTGTTTTTTAGAATTATGTAAATATTTTGAATGAAACAAGTTCTAAATTAAATTCTAGTGGCGTTTACGATATGACACATTTAAAGACTGCTGTGGAGACGTTCATAATGAGCAGCGCCCTTCATGGGGCAGACAAACGCCAGGTGTAACTAAGTCGCGCGGCTCAGCAGGGGGACAGCAGGCTCTCCAGTGACTGACCTAGATTGACAATTCTGCTAATAGGATTGGAGCACACTGTGGAACTCTTTTCTCTTATTAATTTGGCTTGACTTACATATACACTTTGAATTGGTTGGAGACAGGGCTCAGTTACTTTTTAGAAAGAATCTTGTGGCTTTATTTAAAACATCTCACTTTACTGGATTAGAAAATTTAATTATAATATAAAGTAGTCTTTTTTGGTATACAACACTGTAATGGTCAATCCAGCTCTGTCCTTTGCATAAAAATGTATTTGAATATACTTCTTATAACTGGTTCTTTCTGTTGTTTCTGGTGTGTTGTTTTTTGGGTATGGGATATTATTGTCTTTTAGTTTTCCCAATAACAACCATTCAATCAGCAGGAATATTCTCTCTCTTTTCTCTCTCTCTCTCTCTCCCTCTCTCTCCCTCCCTCCCTCTCTCTCTCTCTCTCTCTCTCTCTCTCTCTCTCTCTCTCTCCCTCTCTCTCTCTCTCTCTCTCTCTCTGTCTCTCTGTCTCATGTGTGCTTGTGTGTGTGTTCACATATGTGTATGGATATCTGTGTGTGTCCTCAACTTCTATATGTCCTGGTCCATGCTTGGCACTGGGACAAAGATGAAGTTGGTCCTGTTGAGAAGCATGTGGCAGTTATGAATACTTAGGATCCTAAGATGACATAGGGCAGTGGTTCTCAACCTTCCTAGTGCTGTGACCCTTTAATTCAGTAACTCATCACCCCCAACTATAACATTATTTTTGTTACTACTGCATAATTGTGATTTTACTACTGTTATGAATCACAGTGTAAATATCTGTGTTTTCTGATGGTCTTGGGTGGCCCCTGTGGGAGGGTCATCGGATCTCCAAAGGGGTCTCGACCCACAGGTTGAGAACTACTGGTATAAGGGCTGTTCTACTGGTATAAAGGTAACTACTGGTATAAGGGTATATTATCAAAGTATGTAAATCCAGAGGAAGTGACCCAATCCAGCCCTCGGCTGGGGAGGGACCCATGGAAAGTCTTAGAAGAAGCAATACCAA